GGGGGTGGCGGGGGGCAGGTAGCATGGTGCGGGGAACCCTAGCGGTAGCTAGGAGTCTTTGCCCCTTGGCCAGGGCGGAGTTTGCACCGGGGTCTGCATGCCTGCCTGCCCGCCCCTGAGAGGGAGCAGGGGCAGCAGGTCCTTCCTTGAGTGGGGCTTAGCAGGTGCTCACAGCCCAGGAGAGCAGAAGACAACAGAGAAAAGAGAGAGAAAGAACAGAGAGAGAAACAGGCCAGTTAGACAAGGGCCATGTTTTCGCGGAGTCCAGGGGCGCTTCTTCCTGCCTTCCTTTGCAGGTGGAGCCACGGATGATCAGTCCCTCTGAAAGTGATGGTCAGGATCTCTGTGTTCAGTCCATTACCGTCTTTTGGTTTCCAGCGGGTCCTTCCTGCAGCAGCTTTAGCAGGGGAGGCACGTTCTGCCGCAGTAGCGGCTGCTGATGCAGGAGAGGTCACAGCACCCGGAGTTGATGGGCACTCCCTGACAGCTGAGGATGCTGCCAACGGCAGCCGAGGTGGAGGATCCCACAACGGTGTTCTGTGGGAAGGAGCTGAGGATGGGGCCGGGCAGGGTCACCACCACGGGGGAGGGCTCGATGACGACGGTGGAGTTCTGGCACTGCCTGACACAGGGCTCATTGCAGCTGTTGGCCAGCGGGGTTGGGCAGCAGGGCTGGCACGGCACACACGGCAGGCACTGGTTGTAGCAGGACATGTCTTGGGGCTGGAAGTGCACCTGGGAGAGAGGGCAGGGGGGAAGGACCCAGGGATGTGTGAGCAGCAGCCTGTCCACCCACCACAAGGGGGCTGGACTGTACAGGTTGGGGAGCTGGAGGTTGTGCAGGGAGGACCACACGCCTCTTTGCCTGTGTCCCCGGGCACCAGTCAAAGAGACTGAGGCCCAGGAAAGCTCTTTCCTAGCCAAAAGCACAAGAGTCTCCTTAGCCCAGACCCAGTCACTCTCCACGCCAGACCCTCCCCTGCTTCCCCTCCCAGGACAGGCAGCCCCAAGCCCCGATATAGGACAGAGCATCCGACTCACTTGCTTCCAAAGGAGAAGAAGGGGAGCAAAGCTGAGGAGAGGGTGAAGAGCTGGGATGGCTTTTATACTGGTCCTGCCCTGCCCCAGGTCCAGAGGAAGCCCCTGTGGAAGTAATAATTTTCTGAGAAGCTCATCTGAAATGCAAAACATCCCAGCTAATGATACGGTCTGTGTTTTGGTTTCCTGCATGGCTGCCTTTTCATTTCCTTGTTTGGCCATACCCACTCTCTCTTGAAGGCTCCTTTTCAGTGCTGGGGTGGGAGGCCCAAGGATTTCTGGGACAGGACCGCATTGGTGCCAGCAGAAGATGAGTCCCAAGTGCCGGAGGGGTCGTGTGCAGGGTGGGGACATCGACCTGGGGCACTCATGTGGGCTTGTTTGCAGCCCCATTTGCAGGAAGGGCCCTGCTGCTCCCAGCCCTGCAATCCTCGCCTGGATGCCAAAGGGCTTCCAAGTGGGATGATGTGCCATGTCCCCTTTCCCCCACCCTCCAAGCTCCTATGACGGTCACTGGCCATTGCCTCTGCAGACGGGTGGTCAGTGCTGCTGCCTTTGACATTCTTTCTCCTAATGCTGCTCTGAGTTTATGATGAATGTTCATGCTGCCTTTTAGCTATAATGCAAACCCTTCAGAGGAGAACTCACAGTTTGTATCTGGGAAGAGTAGGGAATGCTGGATGAGAGCTGCTGATGTCCTTGCAGATCAAGCTAGTTTCTGATGAGGTATCTTCTTAGGTAAGCATCCCTCAGGAGCAATTACAATGTGTTCATCGAAGACCATATGACATCCATCTGCCATGTCTAAAAAGAAGGGACCTAAAATTATCACGCTGACTTCAGCAGAACTAGCCTTACAGGGGCTGGATGACAATTTATCCCTTCTGCTCATGGTGCATTACTCCAAAGCTTTTCTCCTTGTTACTTCTGAGGCTTCACAGCATGCTTCCAAAATTCTCCTGCTCACCTTCTCACCTCATCCCCTCTTCACATGATACTCTTTGTTTTTGAGCGCTCTAGCACTACCCCAGTCACAGATGGGTTGCTGTGTCTTACCGTGTTTGTAGTGTGAGGGGGCTGCTAGGGAAGTCCTCCAGACATGTCCCTTGCTTTCTGGAATTCAATGTCTTTCTGCCAGTCAGTGTGCAGAACTTCTCCCCAGTCGTAACTTCACGCCTCCCCTCCCCCCTTTTTCTCACAGCCCTTATCTCACTCTCTGGCTTGAGCACATTCCTCCTTCTGTCCATCTGTCACAGTTTATGCCCAGCTGGCAACTAAGTCATATGCAGCCACGCACTCGTCCCTGTCCCCTGCCATGTGGGATGCGGGACAGGATCAGAAAAAAATTCATGGGTTGAG